TAACACGGCTTTCTTTGTCTCTTCTAATTTTATTTTAAAGTCTACTTTGTTGGGTATACATGTAGCTGCTCCTGCTTACTTTCACCCTCCTGCTTGAAGTAATATTTTTATCCTTTCACTTTTAGTCTATTTATATCTTTGCAGTGTTACATATTATTTTTTGTAATGAACACAATAAAATTTTCTATCAGTGATTTTCTTATTAAATATACTCACCACATTGTACTTTAGATCTATTTAACTTATATCTTGGTAACCACCATTCTGCTCTGTTTCTGCTCATTTGAATTCAACTCTTTAGATTTCCCATATAACATATAATTTAGTATTTATTTGTTTTTGTGTGTAGCTTATTTCAACCTAATAAAATGTCTGTTAGGTTCATCCACATAGTTACAAATAATGTCATTTCCTTTTTTGTGGCTGAATAGTTTTTCATTTTGTTTATGTAGCACATTTTATTTATCCATTCATCTATTGGGAATCATGGACATTTAGGTTGACAGCTTATCATGGCTACTGTGAATAATGATACAATAGAGGTGTGCAAATATTTCTTTAATATAATGATTTTACTTCCTCTGGATCTGTTAGATACAGGAAAAAGATTGTTGAATTATGTGCTATTTATATTTTTAATTTTTAAATGAAACTCTACTGGAGAAACACTGAATAAACTCCTGGGTCACAGAAATAAAGGAAAGGACTAACACAACGGAACAATCATGTGGGTTGTTTATTCTAATGCTGCATTGAAAAGTGTAAAAGAAATGGAAAAATATGATGATGCAATACGTAAAATTACACTTAGATAAATTAAATTTGGAAAAAATATAAAAGTTGAAAAAGTCGAATTTTCCATATGATAGGGGAAATTAGTGAGTCAAAATATGATATCTTGGTTTCAGATTTGTTCTTAAATTTAAAAATCTCAAATAGAATAGAAGTGTGTGTATTCTACCACATAATTTGGAAATAGTTAAATTACAGAGTAATTTAGTTGATGACATAAACTCTTAAAAAAACCAGATAATCAAAGAACAAATGTTGCAAAATGAACCACCAATTAATGTCTTCTTATAATCCTACATAGCTTGTGTCCCTCAATATACGCAAACTCCCAAAGGAAGCCAACCCCAAAATCCTCTCAGCATCATGTCAGGTCTATAGAAATGGAAAAGGCAGCTATATAACATGGAACCAATTTTTTCTTTTATTCAGGTGTCCATTACTCTAAAAATACCTGAGATGCTCAATATATAAACTTAAAAAGTTTATTGTGACTCTTACTCTCAGCTTCTGGTAATTTCTTTTTTTCCTGAATTGCTTGTGAGTATGTACTGAGGCAGGGTATCATGGTAGGAGCTGGTAAGAGAGGAAAGTGTTTTTCTTATGTGTTGGAAGAAAAAAGGGAGGAAGACCCTGGGACATGCATGTCCCTAATGATGTGAATCATCTCTCTAGGGCTCAACTTCTACAGTTATCACCACTTCTCAAGAGCAACAGGCTGAAGACCAAGCATATGAAGGGTCTGGGGCAATTAAGATTCAAACAAGAGCTTCTACTATTATGAACTAATGAATCCACCAGAATACAGCACTTATTAGTTATCTACAGAAATCTCATTCCATAGCTCATTGTGTGAACAGGCATATCTGGAATCCTTTTCAATCTACACACTCAAAATACCCTCATTAAAACCCGAAATGCACAAGCACAAGATCCCAAGTTTGATCCCCAGTACCAAAAACAAAAAACAAACAAAAACATCTCAAAATGGAGTAAAAAATGAGGACACTGTCGAAGCAAGAATCACATTAATGAGTAAATATTAGATCACATAATTTTTCAGGTCATTGATTAGTACACGGCAGCAAAGATTCCTGCAGGTAGTCAAAGAGAAGAAACAAAGGACTGAAGATGTCTGCATGAGAGAAAATATTTGAGCATCCCCTATCTTCCATAGCAAATAGAAAGTGGAAATTAAAGCACATGTATTTTTCTTCCTCAAAAAGAGGATAAAAAATACCCACAATGATTTAGGAAACATCATCAAGGATCAGAGCAAAGTCAGAATACAAAATATATTAAATGTTCAAAAGAAAAACTATTAAGAAAATCTGGCTTTTGAAGAAACTGATAAAATGGATGTTATTCACACAAGTCCCATAAAAAAGAAAGTAATGAAAAACTCCAGGAACATTAGGTAAAAGAACACACACTGAACAACTGCAGAAGTGATCTTAAAACAATCACTTTCATCGTAATGTTTATTTTTAAAATAAAAATATACTTAGCAAATCTAACTCAAATATAAAATAAAAAGAAAAAAGGCATACACTGAGCTATCTTAGCAGGCTTTTCTGCCGCAGACCAGCTGCAGTCGATGTGCAGTCGATGTAGGGTAGGAAGGGGAGATGTCCTGGGCCAGCGATGAGAAAAGAACCTTCACAAGCAATGTTCAGGTTTCCTCTGAGAAATCTCAGGGTCTGATTTATTTTTATATCTTTAAGCAATAGCTGGGAGGCATTGGGCGGAACATGTTTACATTTTAAGTTGCCTTAGCAATTTCTATTGAAGTAAAGGTTATTCTATGCTAAACAAAGTACAATTCCTCTAAGCTGTTTCATTTCATTGAACATCACGAATATATATTTAAAAATTACAATTGTCCCCTTATTTACCCACACCTAAACAGAACAGAAAGTAACTTAATCAAAATCTCTGTATCAGCGAGGGTACAAGCAAGATTTAATCAACTAAGTGTCAAACTTGTGGTCGCCAGCTGGCCCTTGAGAAACTGCACAATGGTTAATATAGTTTGTTATTAGCTCTCTATTTTTCTTTACCTCTATTCATCTTAACTAAATGCCATTTGGGTTCATAGTCTATGAGCAGGAGATATTTACAGCACTTTGAGAAATACTGAGTAACTTGCCTCCTTAATGCATTTACCTGACTTAATGTTCTTTCTATTTCCCATTTTCCACTATTTCTTACATCTAAAGTCTGTCCTTCCAATCTCTTCATTAGACCCCTTTAGTAAAAAGAATGTCAGCAATAAGAGGGGGAGTCATAATAGTGGGGAAACAGAGGGGGTTTTAGGAGAGGTTTCTTTAGGAGTGGATGTGGCAATAGAACTAAGAGAAACTGGAATTTGGGACTTGTGAGCCAGATCAGATTTCAATACGTCATTGCCAATTTGCTTCATGGAGAGTTTGTTGTTAGTCACAAACACAATGACTCCTGTGATCAGAGTAACAATTGTAAACATTATGGCAAGAAAAAATAACACATGAGGGTGCGATGTGTTCCTCCCTTTCTTTCCCCAGCTGGAACTTTGTCAAGCAGCAACGGAGGTCGGTTGGGCTTCGCCAGTTTTCATACTCTTTTCAGCCAAGGTCTCACTAAGTTGCCCAGGCTGGTTTCAGTCTTGTGATCCAGCTCTCCAAGGATGTAGGAGTATAGTCAGGAATCACTGAAGCCAGCAAGCTTAACTGATGCCAAGAAGGTGGCTAAATAAATATGCTCAGGATAAAAAAATCTACTTTCACCGTTTCATCTCTAGCTGGAATAGCAGTGTGCACTATTCAAATTCTTGGTGATGGTAAGAATTAGAAATGAGCTATAGCACTCAGGAGGCTGAGGCAGGAGGACTGATGTATGTTCAAAGCCAGCCTGAACTACAAAGTGAAACTTCTTTTTTTTAAAAAAAAAAAGCTATTAGCCACCTGCTCAAGGGTGTAAAAATTGACTGTATCCTGAAGTTTAGTATATTTCATGAATTACATGAGACATATCATATTTCATTACAAAATAGATATGCTTTAATTATATTGGTCACTTGATGGCTAATTTAAGTGTCTAAGCATAATTAGTTTAGGATAAGGCATACTGTTCAGTACATTATGAGTCTTTAATGCATTTGTCACTTATGTTATAGAATATAACCCTGGGGGAAATTGAACAGCTTCTGTACTGATGGGGAAAATAATCTGGGACACTGTACAAAACTTTCAGTATTAGGGAGTAAAAAAGGAAAAATGAGTCAAGGATTCCAGAGCTGGCCTCACACTGACAGCTTTTCCAAGTCTTACGTGGTTGAAGGCATGTGTCACTCACCTCAGTCATCAGTGGTCCTTATTGGTGATGACAGAAAAGATTGTTAAACTTATCTCAAAGTTTGGAAAAAAACCAGAACAAAATCTGAATCACAAAAATTAGTAAAATTTCCATACTACATTATCTTATATTTCCAATGATTTACATTCTGTTTCATGCCGTTACTTGAATTTTACAGTTTAAAAATAAAAGAACAACTGCTGAAGACCAAATGGTATTTGCAGCATCAGGGAATAGAATAAAGAATTCTGATTCATTAGAGAGAATACATATCATTCTCTTCAAATTCAACCCCGTCGAAATTCCTTTCAGTGTGTTCTTACTGACAAACCATCCCACCATTCTTAATATTGGAGAGCCAAAGTAGTGAAATTCATTATATCCTATTGAGAATAGGTGTGGTGCTGCTGGTCTTTGGCAGTGGGAGTACCACAGCAGTGTATTTTTTGGTTTCATAACTGATGGAAAAATCACCACCAAAATAAAAAGTGCCAATATAAATATAAAAATACTTAAAATTTTATATACATGATAACATGGAATGGTTCCTGATATCAAAGAAAAACAGGCAAAATCATGTACTGGATGTATATATATATGTATATATATATATATATATCTACACAGGATATGGAAAACAATATTACTAATCTACATGTTTGTAAGAGGTGAACTCTAAAACTTATGTACAAAAATCTTTTAAAATATACATCATAATATTAAAATATGACCTCTAATTTGAGTTCTTTTGCAAAAAAAATGGAGTGTATACACTGATAATTTACATCAAATGTAGTGAGAAAATGACAATTAACAAAAATTCCATTTTTAGGGAGATTTGCAAAAACAACACAAACAAAACCACTCTGGGCAAATACTAAGATTACTGGCATATAAATATATTTCAATTCACTTATAGATGTATCACGGTGGAAAAGGGATAACAACATTTGTCTAAAAGATAACACTAAGCTCTACCATTATTGCATACACAAGCAGAATTACGGCAGCACAACATTTATTCTTAAAAGTGAACTTAAAAATATGTACTCAAGAGGCCTACTTTAAAAATGAGTTGCAGGGCCAGGGATTTAGCTCAGTGGTGCCGCCACCTGCCTTGCAAGTGGAAGGTCCCCAGTTTGATTCCTGGTATCCCCCCAAAAAAGAATGAGTGACAGATGAACACCCTACATTTATCCTTTAGGATACCTCCTTTGTATATTTTCTGGGGAATTCTACACAGAAATAATTGACATGACATTTGCATTTTACCTGTGCAAGTTTGCACTACATGAGAAATATTCAAAAGCTTTTGATTCTGACTTACAATTGAGAACCTGGCACACTCACAGGGCTTTGATCCAATCTGCCTTATTACTTGTGTACTCTCTGTATACAGATGGCTCATCACTCTACTGTGTTCATTTGCACTATGAATAAAATCAAAATACCAGGTGTCTCCACAAAATACACATACTGATAAATCAGTACAGGTGTTCCCACACAATATATATTGATATGGATTTCTCCACAATGCCTTCTTTGTATAAAATAAAATCATGTATAAAGGAAGGTTTCTCATATATTTCATATTTACATGTACTCTGAGTGTGATTTGTTCATGCTTTCAGGGGTTGTAAGAAACACAGAAATCTTTCTCACATTTTCCACATAGGGTTTCTCTCCAGTGTGAGTTCCTTCATATTTTTCAAAGTAATTAGAACTGAAGGTTCTTCCCCAATGATTACATGTACATGTCTTCTCACCAATGTGAACTCATTCATTTACTTGAATGCATTGAGAAAAATACCTTTTTCATATGGCTCAAATATGTTCAGATTTTCTCCACTATGAATTCTTCCACGTATGGAATGTACTGAAGATTTTCCTTATTCCTGATGAAGGGCCTCTCTCCACTGTACTTTCTTGTGTTTCTTATATTCAAAATTAACTTACTTCTATGAATTATTGATGTCACGATAACTGGAATAACTGAAGGCTTTTCCACATCACTTTACATAGATAAGGTAGCTCCTCAGTGTGATTTCTTTCATGTATTTAACAATACCTGCTTATACTGAATGCTTTCCCACATTGCTTACATACCCAGGGTTTCTCTCCAGAGTGAATTCTTTTGTCTTTAAAAATCACCGTGACTGAAGAAAGCATTCACTCACTGCTTACATACAAAAAGATTTCAACAAAGTGTGTCTTCTTTTATGTTTATAAAATGAACTGTGTTAAGGAAATGCTTTCCCACACTGGTTACATACACAGGGTTTCTCTCCGGAGTGAATTCTTTTTTTTTTTTTTTTGGTACCAGGGATCGAACTCGGGTCCTTGTGCTTGTGAGGCAGGCAGTGGAATCACTGAGCTAAATCCCCAGCCCTTTTTAAATTTTTTTTTTGTTTTTGGTACTGGGGATTGAACTCAGGTCCTTGTGCTTGTGAGGCAGGCAGCGGAACCACTGAGCTAAATCCCCAGCCCTTTTTAAAATTTTTTTTTTTTTGGTACCGGGGATAGAACTTGGGTCCTTGCGCTTGCACAGCAGGTGGCAAAACCACTGAGCTAATATACCCCGGCCCCAGAGTGAATTCTTTTGTCTTTAAAAATCACCATGACTGGGGAAAGCATTCATTCACTGCTCACACACAAAAGATTTCAACAAAGTGTGTATTCTTTTATGTTTATAAAATGAACTGTGTTAAGGAAATGCTTTCCCACACTGGTTACGTACATAAGGTTTCTCTCCAGTGTGACTTGTTTTGGATCCAACAAATGAACAACTAGTAGGAAAGGCTTTCCTACACTGCCTACATACATAAGGCTTCTCTCCAGTGTGACTTCTCTCATGTATTTGATGCTCACTGGGACAGATGAAAGCTTTCCTGCACTGCTTACAAACATAGCATTTTTCAGCTGTGTGGGGTATTTCCATGGGTTTGATGTTAACGTTGAGAGGTAAATGGTTTTCTCCTTTGGTTACATACATAAGGTTTCTACCCAGTGTCAGATTTTTCATAGATTTGACAACTATGAGTGGTAAATGCTTTTCCACACTGGTCACTAAGTGTTCTCACCAGAGTGACCTTTTTCATGGATTTTACAATATCTGTGAGTGGTAAATGCTTTTCCACAGTGCTTACATACATAGGGCTTCTCCCCAGTGTGTGTTCTTTCATGAATTTTATATGAGCTCTTACTCATGAAAGTTTTCCCACACTGCTTACACACATATGGTTTCTCCACAGTGTGATATTTTTCATGGGTTTGACAATAACTGCGAGTAGTGAATGCTTTCGCACAGTGCTTACACACATAGGGTTTCCTTCTACAGTCAGTTCTTTCATGTTTTTTACAATTACCTTGTGTGAAGAAAGCTTTCCCAAAATGCTTGAGTACATATGGTTTCTTTCCAGTATGAGTACTTTCATGTCTTTCACAATGACTCTTTCTGCCGAAAGCCTTCCCACACTGCTTACATACATAGGGTTTCTCGCCAGTGTGAATTCTTTCATGCCTTTTACAATGGGCCTTTTTTTTGAAAGCTTTCCCACAGTGCTTACATACATAAGGTTTCTCCCCAGTGTGAATTTTTTCATGGATGTGACAATAATTGTGAGTGGCAAATGCTTTTCCACACTGCTTACATACATAGGTCCTCTCCCCATTGTGGGTATGTGTGTTTTCATGTCGTTTACAAGTGCTGTTACTGGGGAAAGCTTTCCCACAATGCTCACATACATATGGTTTCTCTCCAGTGTGAGTACTTTCATGTCTTTGACAATGACTCTTTGTCCTGAAGGCTTTCCCACATTGCTTACACACATAGGGCTTCGCCCCAGTGTGAATTCTTTCATGCTTTTTACAATAGCTGCTTGTTTTGAAAGCTTTCCCACACTGCTTACATACATACAACTTCTCTCTATTGTGTGTTTGTTCATGTCTTTTACAACAACTGTATGCGCTGAAAGCTTTCCCACACTGCTTACATACATATGCTTTAACTTTTTCTTTAGATATAAAGGGCTTCTCTCCAATGTGGATTCCTTTACTGCAATCAGAGCAGGATTTCCCACATTGCTTATATTCATGGGGTTTCTTTCCAGGGCTTATTGTTGCACACTTCTGAAAGGACTGGAAACCGCTGGTTTCCCGATGTTCATTACACATAGACAGCGTCACTTCCAATACCTGATTCTCACATGACTTGAGTGCACTGTGAGCTCTGATGGGCACATCTGTTGATGCATGACCAATCGGGGAATTTCTACAGGCAAGGCTTTCCGCTGGCTGTGCACCAAGTGTTTTCATGTTCACATTAGCATCCAGAGTCCAAAAAGTTGTTTCTTTATGTGGATTCCACAATTTATATTGGCAGCACTTCTCTACATCTTCACTTCTATAAAAGAAAAAATAATAATACAACAATCAATCACATTGAAAAGTGTCTCCTTACTAAGGATTTACCAGGAGCAGAGCTGTATGGTGCCGCTTAAGAATGTGTGACCATGAATTTAATGTGTACTCTGCAGGGTGGCTGGAAAACAGTCTTCACTAAAGCATTAGTATTCATTTGTGAGCTTATAAGTGATGAGTGTACAACCCCTAACATTTATTTTCCATTTTGAGACTGAGTGTACAAGAATACTACTGGGAGACGCACTGTAGGTCACTATGGCCAGGCCTAACTCGCCTGCTCCTGGGAAGGACATGGTGGAGAGGCCCGGCGGAGAAGAGGACTGTCTTTTTTCTTGCAAGAGAAACATCAAACATTGTTCCTTGTAGACCCTAGCCATTCTCCCTGTTTCAATCAGACATCTCCTTTTGGTTTCTTTATCCACACTATAAATAAAGGTGCTGAGGATGCAAGCAATCCTTTGTCTCATCAGGAGAAAGGATTAAAGGATTAAATAGGACAAAGGATTAAATAGCTGGCCTCAGCTATTTAAACTTTACTGTCATCTTTGTCTTATTCTTTTAAGTTTCTTAATCTCTCACCACCGTTTCTCACTCCGTGAACCCTTCAGCCACACTGGCCGTGGCCATCTATTTTTTGGTAAATGACATCATTTCATTCTTGTTAATTGAATGCAATTCCATTATGTATATATACCTCATTTTTTCACTACTGGTGATTTCACTCAGTGTTTTAGCACTGAGCTACATCCCCAGCCTTATTTTTTCTATTTTGAGAAGAACTCCCATTAATAATTAAGTTGCCTAGGCTGAGTATGAGAGTGTGATCTTTCTGCTTCAGCTTCCCAGAGTGCTAGGATTGCAAACATGCAGCATCATGCCTGGACCACTTCATATTTTCTTAATTCACTCAACTGTAGATGGGCATCTAGGTTATTTCTAGAACTTAGCTATTGTGAGGTGTGCTGCTACAAATATGGATATACACATATCAGTATAATATGATTATTTAACTGCTAGAGAGAAGTTCACCTGGATTGAATGAAAGTTCTGTTTTTAATATTTTGTGCAATGTCAATGTAATTTCATATAACATTTTCATAATCTTGAGCATGAAATAAATTTCTGTTCATTCCCAGACTTCTGAGGACCATTACTTTTTTTTGTGAGAGCAAATTACCTTAGATTTCTTCTCCAATATTTGCTACCATTTTCAATTTTCTGGTCAGTCCAGTTTTGTTCTGAAATGTAGAAACAGAAGTGTAATAATCAGTTACTACCTTATTACATAAAAATTAATAGATTTCAGTTACATTTATGGTATTACATGACCACGTAAGGAATGTTCCATCAAAATGCATTCACATTCTAACAAATGAAACTTCACCAATAAGCAAGAAGCAGTGCTCTCTAAGTATACAAGTTAAAAAATGATTATCTTCCTTACCTATAGCAGACATGTTCTTCAGTGTCTCCAACATCACATCTCTGTAGAGCTTCTTTTGGGATGGGTCCAGCAAAGCCCACTCCTCCAAAGTAAAGTTCACAGCCACATCCTCAAAGGCCACTGCCTGCTAAATCATCACACATATATTTTCCACGATTAAGACTGAGCCTCACAGCACAGAACATTTCAATTCCACTCATAAACAGGTGCAATGGTTTTGAGTCCTTCCAAAGTTTCCTTCACGTTTTGGCCATCAGCACTTATTTTTCAACATTTATTCACCAATATGCACACCTCACACAGGAAATCTGATTGTAGATTGGAGTCCATTGCTAAAGCCACAGCAGAACGCGAGCACTAGATTTCCTGCCGGTTGGATCCAATCTTAGCTGTACACTGTCTCTAAAGCATGATCCATAGAGGGCGCTTACCAAACCAAAATCCAAAGAAAAAACCAAGGTAGATGAGTATCTAATGAATTATTCTGCCAATACATAGAAAATATCTTTTTTCTCAACTTGTTACTTAGGAAATGTGCCCTTTCCTTCTCTGATTTTATTTATACAATATTTGGAAACCAGAACCTGGTTACATAGACAAAATGTTAACTGGATACTTAAGAAAGTTCATGAATGATAAAATTAAATGTTAATGAAAATACTACATTATTTAATAATGTCTAATGATAATGAATTTAAATTAAGGAAAGTATAATATTTCTCAAAGACACCAAACAGTCAAATATTGGAGCTATAAAACATTCTACATAGTGTAAGGGAGGGGTGTGGGTGGATGGAAATGATATATATATATATATATCCATAGTATATAATATATATATCATATGTATCATAAATACCATATGTACTGAACACCAAATTTTGCAAAGTTAACTAATAATGGAAAAATTGAAGAAAAACTTGTTACTTCCAAATCATGTTTTTGATTTGTCAGTTAAACTACAGGTGTTCAGTACAATAAATGTTAAATAATCTTCAACTTCTAGTAAGCAGGATGTTGACAGTTTGCCTAATATGTAAGAAAGAAATAAAAAATCTGCTATTTTGGGCACTGTACTATTAGCAGAGTGAATGACACACAGATCACAGAAAGTGAAGACAGTCTTCAGTGGCTCATATGCAAACAGAACACTGATTCATGATGGAGCTGTTAGTGTACAAAGTGGCAGAAATCACAACCTGTTCAATACAGCACATAGGGAGAAACAGGAACATATATCAAAATATGCATTTTATTCTCCATAGTCCATAAACAATAATGAATTTACATCTTCAAATGGCATTATATTATATTATATTCATTTTGAGAAATCACAGGCAAATATATTTTGGAAGTGAAAGTGTTTCCTCAGCCAAAAATCCAGGTGCCATCAGAAATAGAGGCATAAATCGAAATCTATGTCAACGATGGGATGTAAAAGAGGTAAGAAATTTAAAATTCTGCAGTGTATACAATAACAGTGATTTATGTAGAGAGTATAAAAATCAATAAACACATAGAAAAAATAACAAAACAACATAACTCAAGAGAATACACTAATATAAACGGGATGCAGGATCTTGGCAAAGGAAATAATGAAAAGAAATGGAGTTATGGAAAGACACAACTAGCAAGTAGATGTAAGAACAGTAGATCAAATGCTATACTCCACTGCCATTTCCTCTACTTTGGAGTATACAGAAACCTACAGACCAATGACTTTAATCTAATTTTCAGAAAATACATTGTGCTGTTGTTCCTGGATACAGATATGATTCTTTTCACATCACTAAAAAGTAAACTTGAGACAACTTCAACCATGTGATCACTGGATGGATAAGGAGCACTTTTCCCATCTCAGACATGAGCGCATGTGAAGCCTAGTGACAAAGAAAACACCCACAATGCTTTTCTGTGCAAGTTCTGCAGTATTCACTTGCTGAAAACTCCAAGACGGTTAAACTAAAAGAAAAATGCCTAGGGATAATACCAGATGGTAGAATTAGAAAAATAGCAATAGATAGAGGACACTGGTCATCTATGGAAAAGACAAAGGTGAGTCAAATAGGTTTTACACTGAATACTCATAAGCAGTGCTTGAGGCCCAGGTATAAAACTTTGAGGGTTGCCTGGATATTTATATTTTTGTTATTATAAAATCCCACCACAAGCGGTATTGATGCTAAAACTTATGGTAAAATATTTAAACACTAAGTTACAATACAGAAAAAAAATTATATATGTTTACCTGAATTCTAACATGGAAAAATGAGAGCATTTACAGATTGGTTAACAAGAACCATGCAACAGTTACCAACTTGAGACCTCCACACACACAGCAATCAGTGGCCAGAATACAGGCTGGTTATCACGAAGGCTGCAGGTTAGCTGGGCATGGTGATGCATGTCAATAATCCCATCACTCAGGAGGCAGAGGCAGGAGGATCTCTGTGAGTTTGAGGCCACCCTGGGCTTCATAGTGAATTGAAGTCTAGCCTGAACTACTTAGTGAGATCCTGTCTCAAACCAAAAGAGGAAAACAAAAGGAAAAAAAAAAAGAAGAGTGCAGGTTAGAAAGACTGAGAAAGAAGACAGATACCTGAGCTGATTAATGCCTAGACATCCTACTTATGCAAATTCCTATGCTAACCTGAGAGGAGTGGTTTTTCTATTCATGCTGGTGAAGATGTGATATAAAAAACCAAGAGGACACGCAAAGCAATATTATTCACATAATTGAGGACACCGGCAGATGATGGCAGGACTCTCAATGATGCACCAATTATCTTGAAAGAGTGAAGAAAGGAGCCTGGCCTGAGAAATCACTGAGGTTACAGGGAGCTCACAGTGACTACTTACTCCCATCAAAAGAGACTGGGCAGTCAAGGTATCTGTCAGACCTAAGGCTGTGCGTCCCTAGGCTCTTGAGCAAATCGCCTTCAACTGGAACACAAATGGCAGGAGTGCTGAGGGTTCATTTTGTCACTAAAGTGTCAGGTGTGGTGATGCATACTTGAAACCCTAGCACTTCTAAGGCTGAGGCAGGAGGATGGAGAAGGATCACCACAAATCTGAGGCCAGCCTGGGTACAGAATGAGTTCAAGGCCAGCTTGAATTACAGAGTGAGACCATGTCTCCAAAAACCAATTTATATTCTATGACAAATCTGATTCATTATGTACATGTAAATTATACCAATAAAATTAGTTGTAAAAACTCAATATATAAAAAATACATACATTATATGTATACATGTAATTATATATAAATATGTCTATTTATATATATATTTTTTTTTCCCACTGAAAATAAACTCACAGACTTCCACTTTCCAGTTCACGTGGAAGGACACAGCAAGGAATGATCCTTCTCCAACAACAATACCCAACTAACTTAAAATCCACCAATCTTGAAATCTAGTGCAATCCACTGTCTCCCAACTGGAAAACAAGGAGGAACACTGACAAAAGCATAAATTAAATTATTCTGAAACTCAGGAGCAGAAGATAAGAAAAGGACAGAAAATATTGTCCTCACGAACAAGGATGACAGAATTTTGACTTGCAATAGCTTTTGGGGGCAGGTGAAAATATCTAAAATTTTATGAATTTTTCCTCCAAAGACACTGTCAGAGTCTCACAGTGACAATCAGAGAAAAATTATTTCATGTTGTGTAGGGGCACAGTGGGGCCAAAAAGTCATTTTGAAAATTCTGGTGCTTAAATTAATTCTGATTAGAAGAAATGTAATTACCCAGAGCCTAAACCACTGGGCCATTTTGCACCCAAACGCTTAGAAACAAGGGAAAGATCCAATTTTAACCAATCTGCCTCCCTCAACACTGAAAAAAGGGCACATGATTCTGATTTTTACCTCATTAAACTAATCATATGTTCACTTAGGAGCAATGAACAACAACAAAAGCCAAAGAATCCAGAGGAAGGGAAATTATGGCTCAGAAATTTTTAAAAAATGAATTGGGGAAAGAATAACTGCAAAGGGTCAATGAATGATCTACATAACTGTACATGAGAAGAAAGAGGGAGAGGCAAACAAAGAGAACCAAGGGACAACAGGAAAAGGCCATTTGCACCACATAATCACAATAAACACAGGACATCAGGAAGCCGTACAGAACTTATCGAAGGGTACACAAGACCTGTAATGAACTCATTAGTATAGATTCCATGTGCATTAACCAAGAAATTATGTTCAAATTCCTAACATCAATAATCTACTTGGTAAAGTGACTGTCATAAAAAATGAGTGATGGAAATTGTACACGAGGTGGAAAATACTTGTGAATATGCTAACGTACGGAATCTTTCTGAAACAACAGTTTTATTTGAAAGTGGGTTTTGAGAAGTTGTGAACAGATATTTCTAAAATGGAAAAATCAGAAAAATAATTAGAACCAAGCCCTACAGGCTATCTCATCAACAGATAATTGACTCAAACTGCTCAATTAAAAAAGCTGGGAGAAAAAACCTAAAAAGATTCAATAAAGTAAATAGAATTCAACCAATTAGAAACCACTAAGAAATAAACATATTTTCTTTTTAAAATTAATTTTATTGGTATATTTTAGGTATACAATATAATGACATTCATCATTGGAAATTTGTACCTTTACATGATATATCTTGGTTCTTACTTTTTTTCCCATTCCCCTGCCCTCCTAAACATATTTTCTTTAGGTATATTTGCAAAAACAATTATAAGAGAGTATGAAAGTAGATAAGAAAACAAGATCCAAATTATATTCAGTCAGAAAAATTCCATTTTGCATGAGGGGAGCTGACGGATACATATACTGTTTAAAATATTTAGCAATTAACACGGGGAAGTGAAATAAACTCAAGACACTTCTTAAAAACACTGCTGTGAAATACATAAAAACTTTTTAATTTACCATGGAAAATTAACATAGCATTCAATGTGAAGTGCTTTTACTACAAAAAAGTTTGTGAAATAATAAGTCCGATCAGTTTTAACATGACAATAGTTGAATTTTTTAATGCAATAAGCCTTAAATTATTGATGTATACAATTTTCACTTGTTAATGAAAAAGTACACAAATATTTTAAACATACCAAATATAGGATAAACCTAAAACAGAACAAATAAGAAGTTTTAAGAAAGCATATGCTAGTCTATCATTGATTTGACAAATCCTGCTGGACTTAAATTAATCTGACACTATTTAATCTGTACCTAAAGAAAATAAGGATTACACTGATCACATCATGATGTAGAAGGTAGCTCTCCAAGAAAAACTAACAATTCTTCCTATGTATTTCACTAAAAAGAACTTTAAATGTCATGCGTTAAAAGCATGAAACTCAGGGGAAAATCACATACCTACAATTATTTTTGAAGATTTCAAAACACTTGCATGAGTAATTGAGAGGTCAATTATAATTGT